AAAATGAATTGCTGATAGTTCTGAGCAAACAGACGTATAATAAATTGAATCACTACAGCAAATTCAAGAAAGCAATTAGTCTCGAGAAAAGCTTCAATTTGAATCAAATATGAAATTTACCGGTCACTGTTACTGAGTGAATTCAGTTAATGATGCGAGGGTAAATTATAATTATAATTCCTCTACTACATATATCCGTTTAAGAGTCTCTCGAAAGTTTCTGCGGAAATTTCTTATTTGTGAAAGGAGCTGGACTGCAACCTCATGTCTTTTAAATAACAATATACATCGTTTTTAACGAAAATGGAAAGTGAATAGTTTTGATTTATCCCTTCGATTAGCAATTTCAAGTCAATACCTATCCTTGCATTATCTATCTATCCATCTATCTGATTACCTATCTCATATTCGAACGTGTCGAAAATATAGTTACAAGGGAAGGGTTACAGAAAGTTCGCAAATAAAACTGAGTAGTATTGTAGTATTTCACTTTTTAATGTTATCTCACTTTGAGAAACGAAATTTTTTGAGCTTCATTAAAATAAAAAACTGGATAAAGCATAAGTATTCGTGACATGATCGAAGGCAAAAAGTTTCATTTGCAGTGGTGATTTTTCGATTCGCAAAACAGAAGGGATCTAAAAGCTCGAAATTTAAAATTACACAACTCATAGCACATGTGCCATTTATGTTGGCAGACAAATTCAAACCAAGAAAGAGAGCATTCAAGAATCTACAAGAAGATCATTATTGTCCAGAAGGTTTGTGCTGACTTATCTCCACCACTTGATACCATTTTCTAGAATAAGAATAAAGTCCTACGTCCACTAAACATGTCAAACATTCGAGAATGACCCCAAAATTTCTTCTGTCTCGAAAACATTCCATTCATAGACCACATCCAACTGAACTGCAAAATGAAAGATAACAATAAGAGAATGAGAATTTGTGATGGATTATCCTGTGAAATAATGACAAAATGAGCAAAGAATTGCATAAACGCGAAAGCGTATCAAATAGTAAAGATAAGTCTGTATGAGCAATGCACATATAAATAAAATGCCTTTGCTCTACCAGTCAATTTTATCCTTCTGTAGATAGAAATTGCTTCTCCTGAACTTTCTATAGATCAGAAACTTTCATTGATAATGTCAAGTTTTAGTGATAGTGTTATTCATTTACTAATTAGCATTTCTTTTCTCAGTTCCGATGTCCATACGTTTTTTTTCTTGCCATAAGCCCATGCTATATTATTGCATATTTAGTCATTTACATTAAATGAAAAAGTTTTAAGACTTTTTAAGTATCAATTTGTAGTAATATCAAAAGTGAAATCGTATTACATGATTGCGTTTCAATGTGCACTTCTCATTGACGTATCAAAATCTAGAAGTATTTTCAGATTGACAAGGGTTTATGAGGTGGATCGTACTCCAGATATTACTGCTTTCTGGAATTTATCCCTCCTTGTTGCAGACTGCAGTCAGTGGTACCTCATTTAAGAAAGTAAAGAGGTAACATCTAATGCTCCTTTTTTTGTAATTTGTTGGATTCACTACTTTGAAATCTACTTAGCTCTAAATCACAAACATTCAAATACGTAGAGATGCTCATGCTAACTGCAATGAATAAGTTTTGACGAAATGAAATCTGTCTGCTCTTTATTTCAAGATGAGCTTTGTAGCGAGATCTCTTTCGGCAATTGGCTCGCTATGAAGCGAGCGACTGGAGAGAGAGCAACACACGAACGCAGAGATCGGCAAATGATAGTTCGGAGCTGGTTGTGGGTGAGGAAGAGGCGGCCCAGGCTTCTCTTTTTGAAGATAGCAATGGAGAAGGGATGGCTCAGATAAAGCTGTATCAGCCTGTTAATGAAAGCTCCGCAGTGCAGATAAAGGCTGACACTGAAGGGGACCGGTGCAGGAAGTACGAGAACTGGTCCTGTTAGTAATTTTGTTGGAAAGTTGACTCACTTTTTACGACAATTTTTGAAAAAAAAACTCTTGCTATACTTTTTGAAAATTAGCTTGTGTTATACATTACAGGAAAAACAGGACTGTCACAAATCGAATTCCTACTACTTTGAAGAGAAGCGTTGCGTTGGTTCCACAAGCCTTTCACGAACGCGAAAAATGTGGAAGGTCCTGCGGGCCAATTTAAGCAGGAGTTGGAGCAGCAAATAACGCATATGAAGTGGTGTTGGAAGCTAACAGATGTGTAAGTAATAATGTTTTTGAAATGAAAAGAGTAGGAAAATTATCTGAAATCTGTATAAGCTTAAATTTTGTGAATAAATTTGCAATTCTATAAATGCAATAAAATAAATTTTTCAGTCTGTGGCATTGAATGCAGATTCCAAACATTCAAGGGATGGCGCATGCAGAAAATAAAAAAGGAAATAAAAGATGGTAGGTAGTAGTATCATTTTTAACATTATTTTTGCAACAATATTTTTCGATCCTCGCGTAACATCAGTCTTAAATTTCAGGATTCTGTGCTGATTGTGGACATTACATGTCAGTGCCATCCACTTTCACGTCTGCATAGAAACAGGCAGCCGTGAAGGTGCAAACTTTCTTGACAACGATCCTACTTTGATTGTATAAAACTTATCATTTAATTACATGGTACACATGTGCTGAAATTTAAGTGTTTAATATTGTTTTACACTGTTATAGATATCTTTAAAATTTTTCAATTACAATAATAAATTCACTTTCAAGATCAATCGTCATACAGTACAGAAAATTGATATGCAGTAATTATTATGATACTTTAAGTGACTATTGATTTATGCTAATAATATATATCCCCCAAAATGGATATTCTGAAAGCATTTACTAATAAAATCTTCTGATAGCTTTTCTTGAATAACGATTGTTTTCTGGATTCAGTGGATGCAACGACATCATCTTATTAGAATGGTAGGAAGCAACGTCTGGAGCAATATAATGGCTTCTACGGTTAAATACTTGCTGGTGCCAGTATTGTACAGGCATTACAGGGTGCCTGAATCCGGTTATACGTGCTCCTGAATCAGAATATATTGGGTTCATGAATATGTCCGATCTATGATGGTCTTTTTCTTGAGTTGATTGTTTTGTCGATATTTTCTTTGGTGTTGAAGTAAGCAGCGTTGGTGGTTGATTCTGCTTAACAATTGGTATCGCATGTACAATAGACCCCTTATGAATAATATCAGAATATTCTTTACTGGTATTCATTTCTTCCCTTCTCATTTGATCCGGTGCTAAGTTCTGTGATGATTTTGATTTGTATGAACTTTTTTGAGCTGAATTTGAACTTTTACTTACATTTTTCACCATTTTAACGGGCAAAATAAACATACTTTTTAAGTTATTTTTCTTTGTCTTAGTAGTGCTAGGTACAGGAGAATATTGAGATGTGCCTGAAATTTTTAATTGAAAACCGTCTGTATCTTGTACATAATACTTTTGATAATTTTCCATACAAATCGAATCAGAACTTCCTGAAAAAGGCATACGAGTCTTCTCTACATTATTAGACACAGAAGGACATGCACGTCGTTCTGCCACATCCCTGGGATCTTCTTCCGTACGTCGTTCCGTCATATTCCTGGGATTTTTTTCTACAGCATAATTGATTTCATGTGATCTTCCTGTTGTATCACTTTTACTATTGTAATCGTCATTGATAGCATTTCTTATCACATCGACTCTTTGCTCGTTTGTATATGTTCGAGTATCGCCTGAATGATCCCGGTATTTTTTGCATATCATTTCTGCCTTGTTATCCGTCATTATTTGATATCTTGGAATGGATTTTTGATAAACCATCGTTCCCAACTTTTCAATTTGCTCCTCATATTTCGATGAGTTATCAGTGTGAGATTGCAGATACTGTTGTTTTTGATTTTTCTGGTTTTTTTGATCACCAGAAAAAGGCAACATGGTTTTGGAGCAAAATATTTTTGTCTTTTTTGGCTTGCTACCTAGTTCAAGTGAACTTCGCGGTTCCATGAATTGTCCGTTTTCTAAAATTCCATATTTAAATATATTTGATTTTACTTATATTTTTGGATTGTTATTAATTGAAAGTATCAAAATTCTATAATTTCAGTACAGTTATAGAGACAGTCTTAGTATTTCAAGTTTATCTCCAAAATTTAATCTGTCAATAATGACAGAAATATCGATATTTTATTAAGTAGTAATGGTCAAAAATGATAGTAATGGTCAAAAATGGTAGTAATGGTGTTCTTAATTTTCTGTCGTTTTTATTGTTGGACTTTCTTCTTTTTTTGCGTCTTTAATCTTATTTCCAACCCTTATTTCAATGAACTCATAATATGAGATTTATTCTAACCAGCAGTTTAGTCGTGCATATTGTTGGGAGCATTATAGAAAGAGATACAGGTATTTACCCATTTTGATCTTTACATCTGATGTTCGATCGAGTGATTCATGCATCGTCATATCTTCATTTTCCAGTATCCTGATAGAGTGTGAATTCGAATTCTGATATAATTTAGTAGAACTCAGGTCATCAGTGGTGTCTTGTTTTGAGGATAAATCACGTGCAGGAGATTCCTGATTAGTAAAAGTGTTACATACTTCTGGCAGTGATTCGTTGCTTGACCAATTCTTGACATTTCTTAATTTGTGCTAAAATATTGAACAATTTATTCAAATATAAGATAATTTCCAAACTTTGATAATTTTCTTTGTTGTTTTTAAGACATTTTTTAAAATATACAAAAGTTATCTTTTTGTAATTACCATTTGCTATTAATACAGGTAAAAGAATCACATCATATAACTAACATACTTCTTCAAATGCAGAATTACTTGAATCTTCACTTTCAGAAATGTCATCTTTTCCATGCATCTTCAAAAACTTTGATGAATTTTTCCTCCATCTGAAAAAGAGTCATCATTACATATCTCTTGGAAATGCCCAAAATACATATTAAAACAGAAATAAAGCTTCTATAGATTACACATTTTTGAAATTAATTATTTATTCAATGTAAACCAAGTAAAGTCAAAATGAAAGCCGTTAAGAAAATTAACAAACTTTTCAACTTTTTCAAAGTTTTTAATCAAATCCACACTGCTAACACCACTAGACGACTTTGAGGATAGTGATATATTCTTAGGTTGTAGAGATTTTTTTTTGCTTTGAAAAGCTTCTCGTAAATCTGTCTGCACATCATCGGAATCGCTGCATGATAATGATCTAAAGTATTTGCAGTACTAGTTGATAAAATTCATTTTGCAGAAAAAATATAACTTTTTTAAAATTTTCGGCTGAAAAAATTACTGAAATGAGCAAAAAATGGTGCTAATTACTGAAAGTAATAAAAGACTATCCTCACCTCCTCTTATTCAGTGAAGTTGGATTCTGCAATTTAGAACTATTTTTATTTAAGGTATTGGCAAGTTGAATCAGTTGATGAATTTGATCAAGAATAGATAATGATTCAGAGCGTTTTTCATTGTCTTTCAGCAATAACCTTCAACAAAAATCTGTCCAGTTCTGATTATAAATTCAATATTTTAAATTAGTGATTTTGATTTAAGCAATTCCAAGTCTATTTTACTTAAGGGCTTTTATTTTTGTTTTTCAGAAAAAGTCATTTCTCATTATATATATGCTTTTACCAAAGAACACAATTAACTGACTTACTGCTTTGACGATGATAAAGTCTCATTCAAAGTTGTTGTAGACTGCGACACAGATGAAACTGAAAATACGCTATCGTCTGTGTGTGAAAGTTGAGTTTGATCAGAAATGAATCCTAAAATAAAGACTCAAAAATAGGCAAAAAATTAATAAAGTTTGAATAAAACTTATGCAATATGGAAATGAGTTTTTCAACAAAAAAATTTATGAATTTAGAAATAAAATTACTGAACTAATTAGAATATTCA